GCTTAGCGTTTATTTGGGTGGGGCAAGTTTAGGCATTTTCTCAAGCTTATATACAGTTATAGGGAAAGTGGATTTTGAACACAATTTGAACACAGGGAGCCTGACTCCAATCTGACTCCTTGCCACATAGTTTATGACATAATCCACAAGTATATTTGGCAGCAGCTACATGCACTACATTCTCCTAAGCTGGTTTGAGGATTAAAGAAATTCGATCAAATGAGTTAATACATGTGAAGTGCTTATTACAGTGCCTGGCATATAGCAAGAGCTCAAAAGTGTTAACTACCATTATTATGAGATATAGTCTTGGCCTCAAAGCAATTATAGGGTGCCTGGGGAAACAAGACATTCATTCATAAATCATTAACCAACAATACAAGAATCATAGTTTAGTATAAAAAGTGGTGTAAGGAAGTACCTAGAGCCAGAGCCAGGGACTTAGTGTCTACAGGTGCCAAGCAGCTTAACAAAAGTGCAGTAGGGATGTGGGGCACTGGAAATCAGAGGTCTTGTCCAACGGGATAGCCATTCACTCCAACCTATTGTTGCCCTGTGGAGACACCATCCAAGTATTGCCAAATTTGTTTTTAAAGAACCCAGAAATTTAGATGTTTATGTGAAATCTATTTGTAAATGTACAATATTTCAGTGCTTTAAAAAGTGCATTATCTTGGGATCCCTGGGTGGCGCAGCAGTTTGGCACCTGCCTTTGGCCCAGGGCGCGATCCTGGAGACCCGGGATCGAATCCCACATCAGGCTCCCGGTGCATGGAGCCTGCTTCTCCCTCTGCCTGTGTCTCTGCCTCTCTCTCTCTCTCTCTCTCTCTCTCTCTCTCTCTGACTATCATAAATAAATAAAAATTAAAAAAATAAAGTTTCTTAAAAAAAAGTGCATTATCTTTGGGTTATAAGCTACAAAATATATCTTAAATACATAGTCTTAAGAAGACTCTTAGAAGTCACACAAGCATCTGGTTTTCCACCTTACTCTTCTATTCACACACAGTCTGGACAAGGGAATCTTAAACTAGAGAGGTGTTACCTGCCCCAGGTCACCCAACTAGAGGCACATCTATGAATTCAATCTTCACAGACTTCAGTGTTAAATTATTACCAAAGCTGGCCACATTTCTGTGAATTTGGTTCCTTGGGCTCAACCACAGAAGGAAAGCTTCAGGTAGTGAAGAATAAGGATTTGGAATAAGATTTGGGAAGAAACACTACAAGTGAAGAAATGTCATGGGAAAAGCATAGAGAAATGGTCAAGTCCCACATCAGGCTCCCTGCATGGAGCCTGCTTCTCCCTCTGCCTGTGTCTCTGCCTTTCTCTCTCTCTCTCTCTCTCTCTCATAAATAAATAAAATCTTAAAAAAATAAAAATAAAATGTGTTCAAGGGACACCAAGGTCATTCCAGTCTGAGGTAGGGCGAAATCTGGAAATGAATTAAGAAGAGATCTGGGAGCCACAGAAGTTTCATATTTTATGCCACCCTCTACAGGAACCATGGGAAGTTGATAGAGCTGAGTGGCACAAAGACAGGTAAGAATGGACTTTCAAAGGGCAGCTTGATGCCAGGGCTCATCTCTACTGTCAAGAGGTCCCATCAGTCATGCCTGTTTCCCATTGAACCCAGATTTTCTATTTTGGGGAGGAGGATGGAGAGGAAACAGAAATCAGAAGAATTATAATTTATCTGGAGAATAAGCAATGAACTAAGGGTAATTTATCAATAAAACTCAAGAAACTGGATTCAACCCAGGTGTGATTTTCCCCTTCTTCTAAACTTATTTGTGTTCTTGAGAAGAATCAATTATAGATATAGATTTGTAAGACACCATATCTGAGTGCATTGTGAGTACATTTGTGGCATTGCTTCCAAAATTTCTGTTCCAGATGCATGCATAAATGGACATCAGTAAAACTCCATTTTGACCGGTCATCCAACGGATATTCACTGTGTGTTTATTCTATGCCATACTGTGCTGAGCCCTGGGGATTCAATGTTGATCAAAAGCAGACCTGTGCTTCTTACTCATGAAGCTTAAAAGTCTTTTCATGGAGACAGACATTAATCAAATAAATGTAAAAGTACAATGTGATAAGTGCCATAAAGAGGTACTGCGTGAGCTCAGAGAACATCTGGGAGGAGGATTGAACCTAGTTGGGGAGAACAAGAAAAGCTTCCCTGAGGAAGTAATGATTGAGTTGAGCTCTCCAAATTAGCAGACATTGTTACAGCAACAAGAGTAGAGAATCCAGTCAGAGGAAACAGGTGCAGTTGTGAGTAGAACCCAACTCATAGTGGCTCATGAGAGCAGATTACTGAATTTTCATGAATTTTGCAAACCAGTTGATGTCATGTTGGGAATATTTACACTGCAGACATTGGCAAATGCTATAAGAATCAGGGATCATGTTTTTGTTCTTATTTTTTGATGTGTGGGGGACTTTTTTGTTTTCACAGAGAGGCAGTTTCCAAACAACTGCCAACATGTCATCATAAAGTGCTGTGATTGGAGGCAGAAGAACAGATATACCGGACAAAACAGAACATCAAGTGTCAAGCATATAAACCACGAGGAGAACAAATGGTGGGAGATGAAGTGGACAGCCAAGTAGGTGCTGGACCATGCACAGTTATGAAGGCTTGTTAAGCATTTTATTCTTCATTTTAAGAGCAGGAGGAAGCCACTGAAGTGATCATAAGTAAGATGAATAATTTAAGCAGATGGTAGTTTTAATAAGATCCATCTGCTCACACTTTGGAGACTGGGTTGGAAGAAGGCAAGAGAAGATGGGATGACCACTTTGAAGGCAGTAAGTAGTCCAGGAAACAAATAATAATAGCTTGGACTAGAGTGTTGACAGTAGAGATGAAGAGACATAGCAGATTGTGTATGTTAGGGAGATAAAAATCAATAGGAGTTGGTGAAGGACTTCAATGTAGCAGTGAGTGGGTATAAATTTTATAACTGGATAACTGGATGTATGGTCAGGACCCTTCCCCAAACCAGAAAATATTGAAAGAGGATCAACATTTTCAGTGGCAGGGAGAGTCGTTTTGGCATACATTTGACTTGATACCTTTGAGACAACCAAAACGGCATGAGGGATGTGCAATGTGGGCTGGAAGTATAAGTTGCAGAGTCATTTTTTATGAAACAATGGAAAATGTGGGCTAGGAATAGTAGAGTGAGAGTATGAAGTGAGACGATAGTTACGAATAAGATTTCTTAGTTTTAAGAAATTCCAAATTTTGAGTATATTTTTGAGAAGAATGAGCCTGAAAAGAATATTGAAAAAGAGCAATCAAAATTCTGTTCATTTCAGCAACAAGCCAATCATAGGTTTAGCAAATGCTACCATAACTGATATGATGGAGGGTAAATGGCCAATTGAAGAGAACATAGAAGGTGGATGGAAGGCAGATAGGGACAGTAAGTATGAACAACTCTTTCAAGAAGTCTGGCTGAGGGGCACCTGTGTGGCTCAGTTGGTTAAGCATCTGAGTCTTGATTTTGGCTCAGGTCATTTTCTGAGGGTCATGAGATCAAGCCCCGAGTAGGGCTCTGTGCTGAGCATGGAACCTGCTTGAGATCATCTATCTGCCTCTGAACTTCTCCACCCCGACCCCCTTGTGTGGCTGCACTTGTGCTCTTTCTCTGAAGAAGAAGAAGAAGAAGAAGAAGAAGAAGAAGAAGAAGAAGAAGAAGAAGAAGAAGAACTACTACCGATATGGATAGAAATGTGGGATCCAAAAGCCATCTGTTTCTTTGTGTGGGTTTTTTTAAGCAGAAGAGACATTAAGGATGTTTAAAAGAGAACCAAAAACACTGGGATGGTGCAAGGTGAAAAGGAGAATCTTAACATATGAAAGAAACTAGAATAGTCAGAAAGGTATGTGCAACCTACAGGAAGAGGTACCAGAGCCCATGGTACTGAGGGAAGAATGATGACCTGGATACCATTGGGTTGAGGTTATGTTTCTCATACCAGAAACCAATAGGCATTTCTGTCTGATGGTTTTTATTGTTATCTCTAAAGCTTCTAGATTGAATCGCTACACTCTTTCCCCTTGAGGGAAAAAATTGAACCAACAGCCCTCTGTGGTTTCCCTCTGAAAAATCTTTGAACATGGTTTAAATTGCATATGTGTTGAATTGTCTGATCTTGAGAATCTCAGACCCTTAGATGCAGAAATTGATGATCTTATCGGATCCCTTCATTTCAGTTCGTTCCCTGAATATGTTTTGGGCACTCACTCTGCCAGACACTCTGCCAATCACTGGGGATTCAAAGATAAACAAGAGAGCTTCTGACCTTGAAAAAGTAATGGAATAAAAATATTTATGCAATTAACTATAATAAAGTTGCAAGTGCTACAGCTAAACAAAACTAGACATTTCCGGAGGAGGGAGCTAGTTCATTCCAGGGCCAAGAAAATGATCCAGGTCTCTAGACTCCAAATAGAATGTCTTCCTCACTATCCATATATAATATTACTCTTATTATTCCACAAAAAAAGATTTGCTGTGTAAATCTATTTGTTTAACCCACAAAGATAATATAATCTTTCAGCCTTCTTGTTAATGTACTACCATCACTAATCCAAGATCAACACTCATATATACTATTGGCTGAGAACTCTATGATTTGGATTCTGGTATAAACCACTCATTTCCCTTTAAACATTAGTTTGAAAACCATTAAACAGTAGATGGCCATCACCCCACATTCATTATTCACTAGAACAATTCTACGTAGCTGTGTCTATATAAGGCCACAGGACCAACCACAATTTTGTTAGTACATTTATTTTTTTTTTGTTACTGCCTCTATCATAATTCTAACCTACTAGTAACCAAAACATTTGCCTGCTTTTTAGTTTCATGTCTTTAAAACTCTAGGCTGAATCTATACTAATGAGTAAGAGGCAAAATTTTAGTTCCTGACATTCTGGCATTATATGAAGTCAAATAGACACTAAAATCAGCACACGCTTTGGCAGCACATATACGAAAATCAAAATGATGCAGAAAAGATTGGCATGGTCCCTGCCCAAGGATGACATACGTTAAAATGAATTCTTACCTTCTTTTGTTATTTCAGAAATTTGTTAAATATTTACAGAAGACCCACAGTTGTCTGGGGCAAGACCAAGTGCATCAGGGGTGAAATAAACAAGATGGTTTTGGTTCTCTAGGAGATCATTATATACATCCAGAGAATCAATTTTGGGCCTTTCCAAACCCTCAATTTTGATTTGAAACCCCCACCTTGGAGTGGGGAAATAAAACTTTCTAGAATAAAGACTAACAATGAAATTCATCTCGTCCAGATTCACTTATGTGACAATGATTCAGAAATGTCAAAGTTCCTAACTCATCTATTCTCTTAGTTTTTCTTCTGCTCTGGGAGGGGTAGAGGGAAGCTGCTCCACAGTTTGCTTCCCTCGGACAAGAAGAAGAATATGATGAGTGAACAAGTTATGGATTTGTTCATCTGTTTCCTCCACGAATAACCCACCACCTGCCGACTCAAAGGCGTCACACCAAGTACCCTGGGACAAATATAACGATGAACATGTCATTGAGAGCTAACCAATCTTGTGGAGAAGACAATGATACAAAAAGCAATGAGTGATGAAATTTATGTGAAACAGGCAAGTACATGACATGCTGTGGAAAATCTGCAAAAGGTCAGATTGCCTCAGACCAGTGGATTGAGGGAAGCTCCTCAGTAGTGTTTAAGGATGAACAGGATTTAGATGCTTGGGGAAGAAGGGGAAGACAGTCCAGGCTACAGCTTCTGTCTTTGCAGGAGTTACAAAAACTGGAAGTTATGTGACACAAACTACTGCATAAACCCAGATAAGAATTCCACTTTTCTTTTTTTCTTTTTTTTTTTTTTTTTTTTTCCATTTGGGAACCACTGAAATGTGCCCACACAGAGGACTGGATTTTGGAATAATTTGTTGTAGCAAATTAGAACCACAGACTCCCTCTAAATTTTCCCCTCCTGGATGTTATGATTGAGGCCTTTCTCAACATCCAAGCAGACAGGAAGGGAAATCTTGGAGGCCACAGCTCGCTGCAGCATGCCCAGGGCTTTGCCTGGGATGAAAATGGAGGCAGGAGCCTTGGAAGGAGAGCACGGCTGCTGGGGAGCTGGAGGAGAAGGCTTGATTCTAAGTGCAAAGCATACGACCCTCACCTGAGTTATGTTTCAGTTGGGACCCAACACCAGGCAAACATTAATCGCCCAGGCCTGATTCCCAAAGCAGAGGTGGAGAGAGAAACACAGCCATGCATCTTACTTGGGAGAAAAGGCAACAAACCAAAAAAAAAAAAAAAAAAAGATTAATTTTTTGAAAGCCAAGCGCTAATCCGACAGTGGTTTTTCAAGAGTGCCTTGAGCATTAGTAGGTCATTAAATCTTTGTTAACAGGCCAGGAAAAAAAAATGTAAAAGGAGGAAAAAAAGCGGTCATGGTTCTGTTTAAGTTTACCCAGCATGGAAATTTCATCAAATCACAGAATGGCAGGGATGAAAGGATCCACAGGACCCCCAACCAAGGCTTAGATGCCCCTCAACAGCGTCCCAGGACAATGTTCTGTTTGCTCTCATCTCCTCTGACGAATGCAATTCACCAGAAATTGAATTTGGGTTTTACTTTTATAATTTGGGAGTGTAAAAATCTAATCTGTCATCCAGTACCAGTTGACTTTCGGAAACGTGAAAATTGCCTTTACAATACTTCTGAATCTTCCTTTCTTCAGGTTATTCCTTAGGTACCATGGTTTTCTCAACATCTCCTCAGATGGCATGATCGGAAGCTCCGAGAAGTCTTCACTAACTGCAGTCTTTCCCTCCTCTAAAAGATGTCCAGCTGGGCCACACGCCCGCCCCCCCTTGCATTGTGGCCTGAGAAGAGCATGAAATATTTCAAGGATAATCTGACAACATGGAAAAGAAGGCCACTATTACCTCCAGTTTCTATACATGCCATTTCATTTAAAGTAACAAAAAATATTAATTAGGAAAGCAACCTTTTTTGTCAGTACTTTTAAATTTGTGTCTTGAAATCATCAATCAAATCAATGTTAGTTTGCATCAAGTGAAGGCAAACAAAACTGATATAAAATACACCCATTTGTAAACTACTAGTTTGACTTGAAACTGAGGAGTCCACATGGATGCGTGCATGCATGCACATACATGCACAATCTCCGTATCAAGTGTTCCTATCCCAAGGATCCCCTCTTGACTCACCTGTTTAGAAGCCTTAGGACCCAGCCTGACCTGAGAAAAAGTAAGGAGGAGAATTCCCTGTGCCAATTTCGTAAGTAGAGATTGAGGATAGTGTGTAGAAGGTATGACTATCACAGTGATAAACTTAGGGGAAAAAAAAGAGGAATAAGGTAACTCTTAATTTCTCCATAATTGAACTTCACAAAGCTAGCAAAGCCCCATTCTAATGCTGGTAGAAAATGGGAACTTTCCATCTCAAGATAAACTCTTCTAGACTGTGTATAATCTTTTTGGATAAACACTTGGTCTGGCCAGGATTTTCCTCCACCATCGCTGGCAGTGATCTGGAGTCAGTTTTTGGTAGGAGGGGATGTCCAGTCTATCTAGAATTCCATGCTGATGTGGCTCTTTTGATCTGAGCTTTGCAAATGCCCTCCTCTGGACCCACTGTTGAGTGTCTACACCTGTCTCTCTGGCTCCAGGTCCATTTTGTGTTACCTCATCTCAGCCTCATCCCGTCGCATCTCCTGACCTGCCACCTCCTCTGTTATGCCCCTCCAAGAGGTGGCATGAAACTCTCATGTTCCCATCTTGCATCACAGTGAGGTCATGGGGAACCTAGAGGAGGGAATTTACATTGGGTGTTGTCTTCCTAAATAAGCTGTGCCACATCATCATTTCTGTTTCATAAGCTCAGAGAAGGGAAAGCCTAATAGGCTCTTGGCTTTCATAGACTTGATCTGAAATGTAAGGGGAGTTCTAAAATTTTAGGAGTTCTAAATTTTAGGAGTCCTAAAATCCTCCCAGGACTCTTGGTTCTCCTCTGGGGCTTGATTTGGCAGAAGTTTGTATGTGGCTCCTTTTCAGGAACTGACTAGCATCACTGCCAATAGTGTCCTCCTCCACCTCTCCCCTACTGCCCACAGCTACCCTGGATCTGCTTTGGGTTTGGAAAAGTTTTCTTATATCACTGTGCACTGTGGTTTAAGGGAGTAACTCTATCCTCCAAGTCCGCCAGATCCTGAGTCTTTTAGGGCTCAAGAATCTCTCTCTTAAAAAGCCCAGCTCTTGCCACAGGAAATCCCAGCTTCCAACACCATGTCTCTATTGCTAATTTTTATAAACATGCAGAAATTGAACTGCCTTCCTTATGCTGGTGTGTGTCTGGCTCTACCATGTGGGAATGAGGCCTTTAACAAGAGTAGAGGGGGTCCTGAGACAACATGACAACTGCAGGAGGGAAAGACTTCAGTCGTTGTCTGGGGATTTTACATCTCCATGCTTATGTCATTAAATGCTGATTTATGGACTCAGGACCATGGGGTCCACATTCAGTTACCTATCTCATAACAAAATGTCATAGTTTATGAGTTAATTAGTGAGGGAATTATTCAAGGTCCTGGTGGGAAACATTTACCTCAGATGGTTCAGACCAGATTGTTTAATGAAGGACTAGTTATAGAGATACGAACAGGGTGGAGGAGACCAGTAAGGAGCGTCAAGGCACCCAGAGACTAGCAACAGTGGAGGTCATTCATATCCCAGGGCTGAAGAAGCAACAGGAGAAGGGTGGAGGGTACTCAGAACTGGGAGATCTGGAGCCGTGGAGGAAGAGCCATCCCAGAGGAGCTGTGGTTAGGGAGAGACTCTATCAATCACTCCAGAACCTGAACACAAAGCAGGGAGTGGGCAGAGAAGAAATTCATTGACCTTGCTTTTCTCTTGTCCTCCCACTTCCTCCCCTTCTGTGGACCAGGTGCCACCAGGTGAGCAAGCCCAGGTATGATCCTTAGGGCTCAGGAAAGGTACACACTAGGACTTGGCAGGAGATGGTATGAAAGGAGAATAACTGGTGAACATAACATTCGACATGCCATTTAAAATCCCTTGCCTTCCTTCTCCTACTTACCACTGAGTTAATCTAAATGGCTCAAGTAGAAAGGCTGGGAATAGTCACTGCTGAGCCTTTTTTTTTTTAAGACAGTCTTATAGGGCTTCTTAACCTTTTTTAGTAGGTTACTACCACCTAGAGAATTTCAATACATATATTTTTAAATAAAATATGTATATATATTTGGCCAAATTCTGAGAAAGATGCACTTGCCACACCAGATCTATATGATGTCAGAGAGTTCATGTAGCCTTTAAAGCCCACCTATGAGTCCCCCATGGCCCCTGGATCCAACCTTAAGGACCTTTGCTTCAACTGAACTAGTATTTCAGAAACTTTTTATCAAAGAGCTTGAGGTTCTGAGCACAGGGAACAGGAACATCTTTGTTCCTGAGAACCCTTAGCTGGATGAATAAATTTCCCTGGTGCCTTCTTAAGGATAGGCAGAGAAGAGAGTGATTGAAAATGAAAGAATGTTAACCTTAAAAAAAAAAAAAAGATAAAACCAAGACTACAGTTCTATTCAACAGGGATTGCCTGCTTCCTGTGTCCTGAGAGCTACAGAAGCAAAGAGCACGCTTGAGTAAAGAATAGTCAAAGGGAAAAAGAGAAAAAAAGCCCCAAAAAACAGAACAGAAAGGTGTAGGGGAGAGCATAAAGTCATATCCTCTAATCCTTGACCACTCTCATACATGGGGACTTGGAGACTTAACTGAGAGAGGATGGAGAGTAGGACTTGGATTGTTGGATTTTATCATGCAGAAGACTACCAAGTCTTATTTGCTGACGTATCTTTCCTTAAATCTTTGTACATACCCTTTTTTTTGTTGTTGTTGTTGTATAAATTCATTGCAGAGGCCAGTTCTTTGAATCTGTCCTTCACAGCCCTCGATGGTTTACCCACATCTTCCCTTTCAAATTCTCCTCTTCCCACATCTTCCCCCAGCACAACTCAGTC